GAGAAGGGTGCAACAATGAATGAATGGAATTCCAAAATCTCTGTAGATGTTCATTGAAATGAAAAATAAACAAACTAAATTAAATTTTAAAAAATAAACTCCATAGAGAAAAGAAAGAAAAAAAAATATGTGCATCTCAATGAATGGCTCTCCAACAGCCTGTCAAGATTTTGAATCCGACCAGTATAGTTAGCAACATCTCTTCCTTTTGTGATTTAGCAGATGACCATCAAGGAGAACAAAAGGATACAAAGCAGTGTGCTTTCGTGTATGTTAGCTTTCTAAGAGGTTTGCACTGTGTAAAAATGATCCTCAGAGCCTATGTAGCTCATGTCTCTTGTGTGCTTTTAACACGACTTTTTAATTACAAAGATAATGCATGTTCATTGTAACAATTTTAGAAAACATACCTAAGCAAAAAGAATAAAATTATCCTTAAACCCAAACTGACCAATATATAGATCTTTTTCTTTAAAGTATTTTGAAATTACCTAATCATTTGTCTTTAACATATTTTTAACAGCTTCATACATAATAGTCCAAAATATGTTGTTATAATAAAAACCAACTCATAGCCTACATTCCAGAAGCTTTTCAGAAGCTATAAATTGCAATGCACAGGAGTCTGTATTTTAGAACTTGTTGTCAGGTGTCATCAAGTCGAGTATGATCTATAACGACCCTCTGAACAGATCTGAACCTTGTTCTATCCTGTGTTGTCCTCATACTTTCTGAGCCCAATGCAGCAGTATCTTTACAGGAGGCTCTGTCTTTATAGGACCAGATCACCAAGGCTTTTCTCTCAAAGATCCATTGCCAGTTCAAACGAACTTTTCAATTAGTGTTGGAACGTCTAACCACCATGCAACCAGACCTACTAAACATATAACCTACTACCAGAATGATACCTGGTTTTCAGTGGTTTTTGTCATTAAACTTAATAGCTGTAGTATTAAAGGCAATACACAACAAGAGGTAGCTTAGACCTTGTAATTAATTAATGACAGTGTTATAAAGCAAAATGTCTATGACTGATTGTATTTAAAAAAACCAATATAATTTGTAAATCTTCACTCAAAAAAGAAAGAAAAGAAAATAGCTACAATATCTATTTCCAGTTTAAAAAAATTGTATAAAACACAAAGTGCATGTATAAAACTCATGTATATGAATTATCATATGAAAATATAATTAAAAAATTATAATAAATGAATCAGTGTTAAATATGGCAAAAGAAAGAAAACAAAGCTATAGGGATGATTTGCTTTTTACTAACTTTATAAACGTTCCTAATTTGATAATTACTCTAACCTTTTCAAAAGCCTCCTTTTCTAAAATTTTCAATTCATTTAAAAGTAAATTTGCTCAGTGTAGGAAGAATTCATTTTCTTATCCAGTCTGTAATTCTGCTTTCCCCTTTGCCTTTGCTGTCTTAATTAAGCAAGCTCTCTCCTCAGCTCCTGTGTCTAGTAACTCAGAGTCTGGCTGCTTAGCTCATCTGTTCAGGGCTTGGGGCTAATGGGGGCAAGGTCAGGGGATTCAGTCTCTACATACACAGGCCAATTAGTTAAGTGGCCAAAGATACTTTCCCTAGCTCCAAACAGCTGTCATTTAAATGGCAAGCTGATAGTTTCAAAAGAAACTGGGCAGAAGATCATGGGTGGATCAACACAAATCCATCAGCGCTACTGCAAAGACAGTGTGTCAATAGCTCCATCTTCCCCTGGAAAACATTTCAGAAAGGACTCCTGTCAAATAACATCAAATTGGTGAGGTTGTAGAAAAAGAAGAAAAAAACAATACTGGGAAAAACAATTGTCTCGACTCAGACCTTGTACATATCTGGGTTTATAAATTCAGTCTGTGAGATCCCACTATTCTTATGTGAGACAAATTCAACCACTTGTTTTAAATTGCTGGCAGTGTTGTTACATAACTGGCACTTTTCTCTTGCAGCTGACACAGCCCTTGGCACTGATGATGTATATGATGAGAAAGGATGCCAGTGTGATGTATCAGTAGAAGACCTCACTCCGCCACTTAAAACTGTTATTCGAGCCATCAGGTTGGTGAAAAAAAAAAAAAAGAAGAAGCAAAAAACCCACAACCACCATTTCTTTTATTCTTTGATAAAAATGACAAAAATAACTCAGAGACTTAGTCTAGGGTTCTTTGAATTACTGCCTTGATAAGCACTTTTACCTACAGGTAAATCTTCTGAAATAATTACTTGCTCTTTTCCTACTCATCCCCAAGCTATTAAATTCTAAAGAATTTTTTAATACAAAATTCTGCTGTGTTAAGCACAAAGTATGTGACAAAAGGTGGGTGAAATTTGAAAATCCAAGCTATGCCAGGGAGATTACATGAGAATTGCCTTGTCATGTGAATTTGCTACTTTAAGGACATTTAGAGACATAATTAGATTTTTAAAAATTATTCTCATAACTTGGTATTCCATTCCATGTTTTGCATTTTAAGACCAAAAAAAATTGTGTTGAACTTCTAGGTTATTTTAAAGTGGGTTGAGTTCTAAATATGGGAGGAGAGGAGAAGGATTTTGTAGTGACTTGCTCTTTGTGTGCTGTAATATATGCCAATCTCAATATGCTTCCTCTACTCATGGCTAAGAGCTCTGAGATAGTCAGCTCACATATTTACTCAAACCAGCTTACATATTTACTCCAATGACCATACCACCACCACTTTTAAAAAAATCCAGGTTCTTTCTTAAACTAATTGCTGCCTGTTCAGCTTGTCCAATTCAACCCTTTTGGGAGAATTTGTGACTGTCAGAACATTGGACGACTGTATTAGAAATATCTCTGATGTTTCAGCTTTTTATGCCAAAACCAAAAACAAACAAAAAACCCAAAAAACACACACTCCAGGAAAATTTTACCAATATAGTTATTCAGATCCTTTTTATAATCCCACATGTCAGTATGATTGATTATTTACTTCCATTTCCAGTCAAGTTAACCATTGCATTACTCTGTGATTGGAGCTGCAAGGAAGCAAATATAGGTTGTAACTATTTCAATAAATGCTTTAAGGGGCAAAGGAGACCCTGATATGAACAACATATGGGTACTTTAGAAGATGTCTGAAAATCAGTTGTACCAGGAACCAAAGTGTTAAGAAACTGCACTACAGTCCCAAAGGCAGGCAGTTCAAACCCACCAGCTGCTCCACAAGAAAAGGGTGGGCAGTCTTCTTGTGCGATTAACTGTCTCTGAAAAACCACCAGAGGGTCAGCCATGGGTCAGTTCCAACTCGGTGGTACACAACAACAACAACAAAGCCCAAGTACTTCCGACCATAACCCACATGAAATCAACTCTGGGCTGTGGGGGATGATACTTTCCTATTTGCCCCTGAGAGTCTCCAGATTATGCCTCTTTGTAATAAAAATTGTTCAAAATACTTCTTGTATTTCTCAAAGTGTCATGATTTAAACAACTGATACTATATGGTCACCCTTGTGCAAAGTAGGTCTCTTGGGTATTTTAAGGCCAGAAAACCCAAGGATTGAAGCCTGAAGCTATCAGTTGAGGAAAGAAAAATCATCTAGAACAGCATTGTCTAACACAGTGGCCACTGGCTACCTGTGACTTCTTAAATTTGAATCAAAATTAAACAAAATTTACAATTCTGTTAATTCATTGGAGTATCTATCTTTCAAGTGTTCAGTCAGGACTTCCTGCACTGCCTGAAGAAGATATAGAATGTTTCCTTCTTTTGTAGACAAGTTCTACTGCACAGGACTGGTCTAACTGTGACCTTGAAATTTTCACATACAACAGTTATATCAATCAAAGACCCTAAAGTAAAGATGGGGCAGTTCAATCCACAGATTAGCCTGACCTGCAACAAGTCCCACAAAATCTTACCTAGTGAGAGCAGATTAACTTTCCTGAAAGACATATTTAACTCAGTCGTGTGTCACTTCCCAAGACCTTGCAAAGCTTTATGCTTTTGCCTCACAGCCTATAAAAAGACTTTTGAGCTGCAAGAAAGAAAATGAAATAGATTTCTTCTGCTAGCTAAGCGCTTTAGCAGCTGCGTAAGATTTACTTTGTTATACCTCTCTCTTGAAACTTAGCTGATTTTTGTGAATCAAAAAAAAAGCAGCATTTCCTTGTTCTATAGAACTCTTTCATGGTTCTTAGTTGAACATAATTTCATAATAGATGCACTTAATAGTTTAAAACTCAAACTAAAAATCTTTGACTCAATATAGAACTTAATTTCTTAAGACTAGTCAAAACAATTACCGGTTCCAGGACTATTGAGTTTGTTCCAACTAGTCTGAAATAATGAATCTTTACCACCTCATCTTTCTCCTGCAGAACAGCTGTGGGTCCGAACAGGCAATCTTTTGATTAAAAGTCCAAAACAACCAACCTACCTACACCAGAGATCTTGCCATTACACTTAGCACAGTTAAAAAGGAGCTTGCAAATTTAAGACCCTAAATCTTATAAAAAAGGGACTTTAATCACATAAATCAGTTCAATATCAGTTGGCCAGATATTTTTTGCCAGCTCACTTTAAATAGAATTTGGTATGTATATTACACATTGTAAGTGTGTCTGTTAATACTATAAGCCTATTAATTGTTTCTAAAATAGCAACTTTGGGCATTTTCTTTGTTGTGTTTTCATTATTTATAAATTTAATATGAATGTTTGAATATTCCTTTTCTATTTCAATAGTTCTTGCAATCATAGTTTCTCACAAGAGCTAGATGAAAATTTATACATATTTCATGTAAAGAATGAAAGTTTAGAAAATAATATTACAGTCACAAAGAGCAAAGTCAGAATACTTGGTTTGTATTGTTAATATTTATTAGGAATTTCCATTTTCTAGTTACTTTAGAGAATAAAGATTTCTTGGGCAAGGAGATGATTTAGTCAACTCTGAATTTGTGTAGATTGTATTACTTAAATTAACTGTAAGACTTTTACAAAATTAATGGTACTACTTTTTATAGTTTAAAATGAAAAATAATTATTAGACCATTTCTAAAACATTGGGGGAGGATTTCTCAGAAGAAAATGTCATTTATTTTTTCATGTATTTTTTACAGATTTACCACAGTTTTTCCTCAAAAATTATGTTTTGTGAGGCTACCCAATGTAGCTGGAAATATGTTTTCAAAATTGATTTCTGGTAATGGAGTTTGTAATAATGTTTTTAAAACCTCTGTAGCCTAGCTTAGTTATTTGGTCCTGCTACTAACAGAGAAGGGATCTCTGGTGGCCTAGTGAAAAGAAGCTATGCTTACAACCTGAAGGCACATGGTTCAAATCTTTCAGCTGCTCTGAGGGAAAAAAGATGGGCAATCTCCTCCCAAGAGATTTACTGCCTCTGAAAACCCACAGGAGGGTCAACTAAGAGTAGACTTTGATGACACAGTATATAACGACAATTACTGGGAAAGTCAGGTGTTATAGAATATAGGCCATTGTTCTGGTAACCTAAAGACAGTCAGTGTGAATTCACCAGTAGCTTCTCAAGAGGAAGATGTGCAATCCCTCACCCCACTCGCATGTCATTTACAGGCTCTGAAAACCTGCTAGAGGGTCAGCTGTCAGTTCATTCCAATTCCATGGAAATAAGTGAGTGAGTGAGAATAGAACTCTGGTGACCTAAGAGGTGTTCTTCTAACCCAAAGATGGTGCCTCTCTAGAGGTTCTAGTCCACCAGTGTTTTGTAAGAGAAAAATGAACGATCTCTTCTTGTGTCATTGACAGAATAAAAAAGTTTTATTTTTTCTCAGTGTTTGTTATTGTTGTGTGCCATTGGGTTGCAACTGACCAGTAATAGACTCTCCAGCGAGTTTTCAGAGATAGTAAATCTCATGGGAGGAGATTGTCTCCTTCTGCAGAGCAGCTGGTGAATTTGAACCACATACCTTCAGGATTGCAGCGCAGTTTCTTTTCTTGTCACTAGGCCACTAGAGATCCGTAGGGACTAAAAATCAGAATTCAGACTATCAGTTTTAGGAAAAAGTTTTCTTTGTGTGTCAGTCTGAAAGAAGGTCCTTGTCTCTCAGCTTCTACTGATGATTCTGTGGAGAGCGCCATGTGTCTTGGAATCTGTGTGACCCAATATCTCCTCCACTTCTTTTTCAATCTCTTTTGTATTTCTTTTTTCTTAACCTGTTTGTTCTTTTTTGTATTTTGCTTTATTAATTTTAATGAACATTTACAGATATTTTGACTTTCCATTCATTCATTGTTGCACTTTTTCCTCTACCCCCACCCCGCCCCAGTTTGCTCCTCTCCTCAAAAAGCAAAAGATAAACTTCTTCATTGGTATGCAATCTCCCTGCCCCCTGCCTCGCCCCATGCCCCAAATGCACTCCATTATGCAACCTTAATTCTGGATTCCTGTGATAATCATAATACCCTATCATATATTGCTTTTAAACTGTTCTATCCCTCATCTGTTTCAATGCAGTATACATAATCTATCCAGTTTTTCTCAGTCTTACCCCAACCCTGATGTCAGTGCCATTCTACAAGAGTGGCACTATGCAGTATTTGTCTTTTTGTGACTGAGATATTTTACTCAGCAATATGTCCTCCACGGTCACCCGTTTTGAATAATATTGTATGGGTTCCTTGTTTTTCAATGCAGCGTAGTATTCCATTGTGTGAATATACCACAGCTTCTCTATCCATTCGTTCGTTGACCCCAAATGCATGTTATACTAACCCTGCCTCATTAACACAACAAAGAAACCTCTTCCAAAATTGGAATTACAGTCATAGAGATTAGGATTTAAAATCCATATTTGAGAAAACACAATTCAATACTAATATCTTGTTGAAAACTCAATTCAAACAATTTGAGGTTTCCTTTCATACACTCAAAGAAAGTAGCTTCTAACTGGAAAGATGAAAATATTGGATGGTGGAAGATTCATCAACAATCTGCATTATGCAGATGACACAACCCTGCTTGCTGAAACTGAGGAGAACCTGAAGCGCTTGCTGCAAAGGGTCAAGGACTGCAGCCTCCAATATGGATTGAGGCTCAGTTTCAAGAAGA